TTTCACTGAAGAAACTTGGGGAGACACTTGGGGGCCTTGAGACGGGGAAACTTGAGCCTTGAATGGCAGAATTTCTTTCGCTTTTTTTATGGCTCCAATTTGCAGGATTCTTCAAAACTGACAGATTTGAGGGGTCAGCTATTTCTGATATTTGAACCGTAAACATGATACAGGTCTGATACTCTTGAGCAACCTGGCTCTTTAAATTGACAAGAATCAAAGCGCTCGCCACAAACACACATTCCAAATGTTTCCAGGCTGGTATCAGGTAGACAGGAAAGTCAAGTCAGGAGCTGATGGAGATTTTCATCTTATCTGTTTTTCCTAGTTTTGAGATATTTTGAAATAACAGGTGCATCTGTTTAGTGGACGTAACATTGCCAACTCCGAAACATTGAGCTCACGCATATTTGGTCGCTCAATCCACGACCATTTGTGGGGACGCTGCTGTGCGCAATTGGCTGCTGAGTTTCGCCCCCAAAATATGTAGTGAATTCACTTTACAGTATAACCTGCGAAGCGCTTTGAGACGTCTCAATGACATGATAAGGTGCGATATCAAATGCAAGGATTATTATTATTCTAAAACACTGAACGTGTTTTCCCACTGTAACTTAACATTAGTTTGTGCTTTTATCCACTGGAAAACCTTCCTTTCTCACCTTCCCCCACCCCCACCCCATCCCCAACTTGGAGTCAGGCTTCGCCACTGTTAAGTGCTCTGAGACGCTACCCTGCGTGGAGGGTGCTGTATAAGTGCAAGTTGTTGTTGTTATCTCCAGCACTTATTAAGGGGCATCAGCACATGCTGAAGTCTCTTGTAAAGTAATGATGTCGCACTTCTGTTTTTTCACAGTAAAAGGAACATTGGGAAGCCATTTAAAGAGGAAAATTCAAACTAATGAAAAGCTAAAATTATATTTTATTCTGCGGGCAATTCAATTATGCTGCACTTTTGCTCCAGTGTAGAACTCGCTCTCGGAAGCTGTGGTGGGAGCAAAATTCATGGTTTGATTCTGTGCTATATCATTCTATGTAATTTCCCCCTACAATAAAGACTGAATAATGGTAGCTGAGGGTAGAGACCATAATGTAAGGTCCTTCAATCGCATTCTGACTACATTTTGATCTAAGTCATATCACCTCCACCACTGTGCTCAGCATTGTACAACAGCATAAATTCACCACTAACTGAAGGTGATATATTCAAAAACAACTACTTGCATTTATATAGTGCCCTTCCTGCAGTGTAGCTTGACGGTGGCAGAATCTTATACATATTCATAAATAATATCAAAAATATTAAATGTCTGGCAATAAGATTCAAGTGGTAATTCAATCTGTGATTGTACTGACATTTGTAAAGCGGAACCAGTCGATTGAATTATTGCATTCGAATTCACTAACAGCATTGAGTCTCGAATTCAGAGGATGATATAAATAATGCATAAGGTTCTCAGTTGTGAGTTGACCTGCAATTCATGTGCCACATTGCCTTATTGCACCCAATAAGATAATACTGGATTAAGATAGCATTGATGGACAATGCAAGATGTCCGAGGGACTGTCAAAACACTGAAAACAGCAGCAGATGCAACACGCATATATCCTATTTAAGACTTCCACAAAGACCTTTTTCATGCCTATTTATTTCTTGAAAGATTACATTCTGCTAAACAAAATATTATTTGACTTTTTTATGAATGTATCGTTGATTCTACAGTCATGCAACATTCACAGGACTAAGTGAGACATGGAAAAGACAGGTTAGGTGAAGAAAGGCTTAAAGAAAGGTTTTTAAAAGCTGATCCCATGCTTAGTGTCAGGCTTCTGAACATGGATAAAACATATGCAATTTTGACCTTGATGAACATGTTAAAATAATGCTAGATTAAATGGTAAATGGAATGGATGAAAGAATCAAGTCTTTTCTTTAAATGGCCACAAACACTGCAATAAGTGCCAGCGACTATTCCGTGCAGTACAAACATTAGTCAAAAAATGATTCTTGCCACATTTCTCTGTGACAAGCATGCGGCAATTGGAAACTGGGATGGACAGGACCTGATGGAAGAATGGATGGGTTGAGCACAAAATATCATAACCATGTCAAAGTTAATGAGTTGTTAGGATTTCTAAGTTCTCTCCTGCTCAGGTTAAACTGTGAACAGGTGTACAATAAGTATGTAGCAATTATGGATGAAAGTAGCAGTAAAGTCATTCACATTTCCTGAACTGTCCAACGCATGGTTAGATGAACAAAGAACTAAATCTCTACTCTAACTTGTTCCTTGATTGCTAAAAAAAAATATTTTACTTTTTTTATAAATGTCGACGTCATAAAAGGAAGGAGTCTTATCAAAGACGTGTTAAGATAGATTACTAAGGTATGCACCAGTCAAAACACCTGTCTCTATGATTTAATTTTATAAAATGCACTTAATTAACAAATGGATATTTAATATTAATCCCCAAAACCTTAAATTTGATCACGTATTTTGATTTAAATTGTTTTTTTACTAGCTTTAATAATACTGACATTCATTGTAATTCATTGTCAGAATGCTGTTACTAATAACTCATGTTAATTTTCATTAGAATGTAATCTTTCTGCATTTTATAAATCCAGAAAGTCAGCAGAACTAAAAGTACTGCAATAGTTTGATTTAGTGTTACATTATTCTGAATACACCCTCATTCTCAAGCATTTTATCAATAGATTACCTTAGTAGCTTCCAGTATAATGTGTATACATCAATATCTCTGCACCTTCTTTAAGGTCTTGTTTTAAATATCACATTGAAACAAAAGGTTAAAACTGCCTATTGGAAATTGGGAGCTTGCAGTTCACAATAGCCTGTTTTGATGTTTCTTGTTAAACATTCTTTAACTGGTGTTAAGCAGCTGTGAGGGGAGTTTTTGCACATAGTATAGACAATACAATATTTCAATGCAACTTTCATCATTTCTCAGAAGCTTTCGACATTTTACACATATTTCATGGGTGAAAAAAAATCTAGGAATGTTTTGGGTAACATGAGCCATGGAGTCTTTTGTAAAAGGAGAAAAAAAGGATTAACACATATAAAGTACAGAATTACTAGTACACCTGTTTGAAGCTTATTCTAACATAACAGTTCTATTCAAAATATCTCATTTCAAAAAATAATAATAAAATGTCCTTCTGAATCTTGTGAAATACGAACGTGTCAGTGTAAACATTTCTCCTATCTGTTTCTTTATTTCAGAACTAGATTTAAACTGGCCAAAGTCCTAAGATGTATTTATTCCCTTTGCCAATCTGGAGAGTAAGTACAGTTCTCTCCCACTCTTGCTTGTGAAACCGCAAAATATCTTTAGACGAAACCTAAAGCCTGTTAATGCCTTCCCTTTCTGCATAAAATTCTTGCATTATTGATGCTATTAATACAAGGCTGAATTGAATAATTACTTGCATTTTATCTAATATATATGGAAAATGTTTTCTGTCTAAATTGTCTCATTCATTAACATTTACGTACTTTTGCCTACGTAACTTTCTACACTCTTTTTTTGTCATTATCTATTATTTATTTCCAGATCATCATCCCTTTTGGAATTGAGCATATAATTTACTGTCTTGTGTCTGCTACTATTTCAAAGAATCGTGAAGTTTTTCTCCCGGTTACCCAGGTTTACGTTCCCTTTCAAATTTCACCCCAAATTCAAAACGATTGTTTGATTGTAGGATATTGCTGGGTGGAGATTAACTGCTGTGTTCGCCTTCATAACAGCATTCACTTCATTTCTAATCAATCTCATTCTGTAAAGGTCTCTGAGAAATTTATTTTACATGAAAGGCGTTGTATTAGTGTAAAATCTGGTTCGGATTTAGGTTGAACCAAAAATTAAGATCCAGTTTATGAGATGAACCCCTAAAGAGGATTAATTAATTATTTGGAGTTCAGATAGAAATCTGGCATGAAAAACAATACGATGTTCAGTAATAATAATAATAATAATCATTGCATTTGATACAGAGCCTTATAACATTGTTGATACGTCTCACTAAATATATTATAAAGTGAACTGACTGTATATTTTGTGGTCGAAATAAACATAAAAGGAAGTATTTTGTAGCTTAAAAGAACAATGATGTTAGAAACCAAATCTGCACAAAATTCAAGAATTGGCAGAAGCGGTTTTTAAATATTGCCAAATAGTAGTTGCTTGGCTTATTAATGTGATCACAATGTCGTTGCTCACGCTCCCAAACCGGTGACTATTTGTTGGTTTGGATGAATCAGCAATGAGCATCATGTCTGTAACTCCATTTCCGTCCATTTCGCCCACAAAATACACAGTCAATTCATTTTACAGTATATTCTGTGAAGCGCTTTGAGACGTCTCGAATTCGGAATAAGGCGCTGTATCAAATGCAAGGATTCTTTTTTTATTATTATTCTACTTGAAGCATCCTTCTTCTAGCTGCAAGTGTTAAGTCGAGACCAGCAAAAGAAGGCTGAAAATCCCCATGTTTAAACTTTTGAAAGCAGAGAGAGAAAAAAAATCTTCAAAAGCCAAAGCATGAGGACGCATTTCAAAGAACTAAAATTGTTTTCAGAGGTGTTGGAGCAGTTTGTTAAGAGATTAAAACACTGCTCGGAGCTTTGAATGGTGTGTGTGTGTGTGTCTGTGTGTGAGACTGGCTTTGTCCTGTGAAGGGAGCTCTGTGTATTTGGGGGTGTGCACACCTGTCGTGTTTTGAGCTGCCAGTGATATGACTAAACCTAAGAATCCTTTCACACCTTTGTCTCGCTCTGTTGTCAGCCTTTGTTTGTTTTCCTTGTCCTGTCACACACGTTCCAAATAACTTCTTCTCAAAAGCCCTCTGTGCCAAAACGATGGGCTAAAGTTTCTACAAACAAGGGAGCTTCCACGAGCGGAAGCTCCACAGCATTGCCAGACAAAAGGAAAATAATCCCCCTTGCCAGGTGAGAGCCTGACCGCTTCTCACATACCTTTGCACGCCTTCCTGTGAGTGATTGGCTTTGTCATGTCACGGTAGTAGCCCTCCTTGCAGTAGTGGCAATGGCGACCAGCCGTGTTGTGACGACAGTTCAGACAGACCCCACCGCTCTTCCGACCAGAAAGCTTGAAGAGTTCCATGTTAAAGCGACATCTTCGGGCGTGTAGGTTACAGTTGCAAGCTGTAAGGCAACGAACGTCAGGGTCGGTTATTTAGCAATGGAGCAAATGGTCTTTCAGAAGCTTTGCAACTTTCAACTCAAAAGTATCACCCTTGTTATAACATGGCTTCAGGAAGCACCCGTTTGATGCACCTTTACTCCAAAGCAAGGTGCATCGAGGAGTCCTGTAACTCAGTGGTTAGAGCGCACGGCCTGGGTTCGATTCATGGCAGGGCAAAACCTTGGGCAACTTTCCTTACTCCACACCCCTGATAATAATCTCTCAAGAAAAAGAAACACAATAATAAATTGGTCATTTCAATCCACGACTGTTTGTGGGACACTGCTATGCGCAATTGGCTGTTTAGTTTCACCTACAAAATGTACAGTCAATTCACTTTACAGTATATTCTGTGAAAGCGCTTTGATACGTCTAGAAGACGTGAAAAACGCTATATCAAATGCAAGAGTTATTATGTTATTATAATCATCATAACATGAAATAACATGGATAAAACATGAAGAACTTGTCTATTTTACTTTCCTATTAACAATACATGATCCAAAAGATGAAATCAATGGCAAGTACAGTCTCAGGATTGAGAAATAGACTATCAGGGAAGATCAATTGTAATTTCCTCACAACTTCAGCGCTGGTGGCCATTTACAAGATTGGTTTGGATGATAAAGACCCTTTTGTTCTCATCCTCCCAAAATACCCACCCTACCGTCTTCCCGACACAGTAGGCCCATTATGTCTATGTTGTACTTTCCAGTCCTTTTTTTTTACTGCCATTGCGCTCTGCTTAAAGTCATCTTTTCTCCCATTCTTTTCGGGCACTACCATTGAATTCTTTCAAGCATGAACTGAGACACTGAAGCAGGCTGGTTGACTGTAGGGAGAATACAACAGAGCACAATCCTGTCCTCAATAGCCCTTCCCAACTCGGTGCTGAAGTCAACTGTAATGCTCTAGTTGAAGCCAGCCAACTCAGCATAGACCAGAATTAGACTCTGCAACTTCCAGTATCACACAACACAACTGAGAGCTTTGAGCACACTTTTTAATAATCCTTGCATTTGATATCAAGTAGCACCTAAAATGTCAATACCTTGTAAAAGAGTTTTCTGTGAAGTTTAATGAATGTGTATTCAAGGAAACGCAGCAGCCAAACTGTGCCCAATTATACAACAAACAGCCATGAAGTACCATGAAGTGAATGACCAGTTTTATCTGGGTATTGTGAATTACGACACCAGGAGAAATTCCCTTCTCTTTTTGAATGATGACCTTATCAGATCATTAATATCCACCCGAAAAGGCAAGTGGACCCTGAGTTTAACGTCTCATTCAAATGATGGCTCCTCCAGCAATGAACTGTCAGCCTAGACTATGAACTCAAAGTTTTAAGGCAGGGTTTGAACCCACAACCTTCTGACCCAGAGGTGAGAGTGCTACCAACCGAGCCAGTCTGAACATTTCCTAACAATACATTGATATTGAATTATTTTCATTCTTGTCCAAGGCCTTTTCTGAAGAGAATAAAGTCACAGTATCTCTTTATAAAAGACCCCGTATTTTTCTAAGTCACTCAATGCATTGAGCTCTTTGTGAGCAAAGACTTCAGATAAGACTCATATAGTTATTATTCCCAATGTGCATACATTGCACACAACACAAAGCTCCTTCAACAGCCCACACAGCAACAGGCCATGTTAAAATAAACAAAATCCATTACTGGCCCTTCACACCTGTTAAATATGTTTAAACGGAAGTAGAAGAAAAGTGGGTTTAAAGTTGATACATGTTTCAGAGAATTGAACTGGAGGGCATCTTGCCAAAGCAGAAAGAGGGTGCGAGAGTGATCAAAAGCAAATGTCAAAATTACTATACATTTCAGGCATTCTGAAGTCTTCCGAGAACCTATCAGGTATCCAAGGATAGCGCAGTAAGGTACGTAACAAGTATGAATAATTTGCTCAAAGTTACTAACCCTTGAATGTACATGTGTTTCATAGTTGCTTTTGTTTTTCATGTTGTACTCTTTGAAAATCAAAGTGATTTGTTGTTCTTGGCTTATCTAACTTGTAATTCAAAACCGTTCTGCCTTGTGCAGCCCATGAGATTTTAGTCCTCTCGAGTTCTTGTACAATTTTTTCTCTCTTGCTTTTCCCCTCTACGTTCCCTCAGGATCATATCCCTTGTTCTCTGCAACCGGCTAGAGTGTTGGGGTTATCGAATTTCTAAAACATTGGATGGATTTGGAGAATGAATTACTGAATTTCCAAAATATGACTGCATGCATTCTGCAGTAATAATAATAATCCTTGTATTTGATGTAGCGCCTTATCACGTCTTCAAGACGTCTCAAAGAGCTTCACAGAATATACTGTAAAGTGAATTGACTGTATAGTTTGTGGGTAAAACGGGGCAGCTAATTGTTCACAGCAGTGTCCAACTGTCGGCGATTGAGTGACCAAACTATAATTATTATTTTTTTGAAGGCATTATTACTCCCAGAAAAACCATCTGCCAATCAACTAACAATATGTGGAGTAAGGAAACTTGCCCAACGTTTTGCCTTGCCCTGGAATCGAACCCAGGTCCTCTCGCTTGTGAGGTGAGTGCTCTAACCACTAAGCTACAGGACTCCACAATTAAATGTTTTAAAAATGCAATCATTATTTCTTATTGAGAGATAAGAAATACCGCAAATCGGACCCCAATAACATCAAAAGATAATTTTAAGAAAGCATTTTACATTTTAAAATATCTCTATGCATTTGACACACTGAGTTACTCTCAAATGTAGTGACTTATTCTGTTGGCAAGCATGGATGGTAGCTGATAACAATGTCCCACAAAGCAGGATGAGGTGAAAAGCCAATTCAGCTCTTTTTGGTGAATTTTGGCTTCGAAAAGAATATTAGTCACGACATCAGAAGAAGGTTCTAGCTTGGTGCCAACTGAGGCAGACACGTCTTTGTGATGGGAGAAATGCAATCAGCAATGTGATAATTACAAGGATGTGTCGTTACAAATGCAAGGATACTATTACTGTGCTACTGTATAATTATCACATCACTGAGAATTGCATTCCAAACCGATCTTTACTTATTGACTGGTTTGAGCTCTGGCACAATGGTTTGGCCTGTCGCCATGGTTGTTTTTACCTCGACTTCTGAATCAACAGATATGATCTGATTTTGTTTCCAGCCAATGTACAGTAAACGAGGTGATCAAACTAAACAGAGAAAACTGGAAAGCAGCGCTGTTTAAATTTGATTCCAATTCAACCCATTCCCTTTTAGATTAGCAAAAGAAATGCAGTCCTGGTGAAAACCCCCGTGCAAACTTGTTTACTGTATCGTACAAAAGGAACGTATGCCTACCCTTGCAAGGGTTTAAGAGTAAATAATTCTGAAGCTCTTGACACTGAGTAAGTTTGACAGTAGCTTGCACTGTGTAGTGGAGGCACAAGGAGAAATAGTTGACAACATGGAATTGCACAAGAGAGAGAGAGAGAGAGCTCAGATAAAGATCTAACCTCAAGGGCAAACTCATTCTGGCAGTACAAACACTTCATCTGGTCCATTTGATAGAAACAAACAGCTATGATTTGCCTATCATTTCCCTCTAAAGCAACTCTGTCCTTCGCAGAGTGCTGGGAGGAGAGCTGAAACTGAATCTATTGCCATAATCTGTCAAACGATTGTTACTTTGTTGGGCACATCAAACACTATAACTGATTGCTGTTGGTCACCAAGGGATGGATGCCAGTTATCTCGCTTCACATTTCCCAGCCCATTCACACCCACACTATCAGCAGCAGACGACACCCGGCTTGCCGAGTGCTCCCTATTAATTGGAACAAATTGCTCCCAGGTGAGAAGCTAAGGAATGATTGAAATGTTAGGGGAAGGCAAAGCCGTGCTGCTAAGCTAATGAGGGAATCTGTTAGGCTCAACCCCACTAGTACACATCGCAGGCTCTCCACATGAGAGTGCGGCTGTCAACTTGAAATTGACTCGATGTTTTTAAAATACATCCCAAAGTCCCTTTTCAAGTGTTCCGTTATACAAGATACTGTTCAATTGCCTCATGTTTTGCTGGACAATACCTTGTTGAGTACTACATTATTCTAACGCCGAATTTAACAATGAATCTCACCGCTGAACCGGATTGAGGTGAAATCTGTCATCATTTTGTAATGTTTCTGATGTGATTTTGCCCACAACATACACAGTTAACTCACTTTACCGTATATTCTGTGAAGCGCTTTGTGACGTCTTGAAGACGTGATAAGCCACTATATCAGATGCAAGGATTATTATTATTATTATTTCACAACGAACACTCGCAATACAAGCTCAGTAAATAAAATGTCAACCTGTGCAATACAACCGGGAATCATAGCACTGAGGCTGAGGAGTTTCTTATAGCCCAATGATGGTACAAATTAATACTTTACTACCTGCTTTACCCAATGTACCCGCCAAAGCCTTGTTTAATTGCTGCCGCTTCCACCCAAGGTGAAACAGCATTCTTAACAGTGGCAAGTTTATCAGGGAATTCAGATAAATAAACAGCAATAGCAATGATGTGCATTTATATAGCGCCTTTCACGCAGTGTAGCATCTCGGAGTGCTTGATTAGTAAATAACTAATGATAAATAAATAACTTTGCTTGTGATATATAAGCCTTATCATGTAACCGATGGAGCAAGAAGGTCAGCCTTGCAACCCAACTTTAATGTTATTACAATTTGTAAATCCTGTGTCTGGCTGAGACATGTTTCTATCCACAGGAAATCTATTCAGAATATAAGCTTGTGTTTAACGGCTTGGAAGCTTCAAATAATACAGATCCAGAAAGTTCACTTCTCAAAGCTTTTGCTCATTTAGTCGGGGCCATGTTTAAATTGCTGATTTCCAATAACGGATTGGGAATTAATCCACACACACATCCACATAGAAATTCCCCCTTACTCCATGCTGCGGTGTAATATAATAATAATAA